TCTGTATCTGTCATCTGGACGGCTGCAGTGGCCTTTAACTGGTCTTTCCACATAGCCTTTCTCCATCTCCTAATTCGTTCTCTGCACTGTGGCCACATTATCTTCCTTCAGCATAACTCAGAACCCTGTTTTTCTTTCAAATGCCTCACTTTGGGATTCAAGGCCATTTATATTCTAGCCCAAGTTGCACTTTACCTTGTCAACTTTCTAAATTATTTCACATACATTTTGTTCGAGCCAAATGGAAGTACTTACTCTTTCTTTGATTCTCTATGCTTTCCTCAAGTTATACTTTTGAAAAAAGAAAGAAAGACTTCACCATTTTTACACCATTCATCTTGTTTTCTCTCTCCTAGTCCTGCATGGCCAAATTGTCCCATGCTTTTAGACTCATATCAAATGCTTCCTTCACAAAGTAAAGTAGCTTCTCCTTTATTGAAATCTTGGAATACTTCATATTAAGCGTACTCCTTTTTACCTAGCACTAAAATTATTTTTCTTTTCTTTTNAATGCAGAAAGTTACCTCCACGTGGGGGAGCCAAGAATGGGACTTAAAATATGAGTAGGCGTTTGGAGAGAGATGAGAGGGGGAATAGCACGTGCAAATACACGGTGTCCTGACAGCAGTTCCGCCTGGGGCACCCTCGGTGATTTGGGGTGATAGTGAGGGAGCATTTGCAGTAGGCCGAGACCCTGTGGGCTCCGCGCAATGATTCCCCTTCATGTTTTTTCCTTCAGCCGTCGTCTGCCTCTGGTAAGGAAGGCTCCTTCCTCGGAATATACATTTGTCTAAAATACTGATTTTTGTATACAAAGCGGTCGGGTTGTTGATGTTGGGACTATGTTGTCTTCTTTTTCAAGAGTAGAAGGATTCCTACTTTTGTGGAGAAATGCACCCTTTCCTTTTTTGATAAATTCAGTCAGGCTCCCTCCAAGGGAACTCACAGGTGGCTCAGAAGGAAGGAAGGCTTGCCACATGGTGGCTTCTTCTCTGGTTTCACTGCTGTGCATTTCTTTGAGGTAAATGAAAACACAAGATCAACCCAGAGAGGAGGGTCCCTTATGGTCTCCACTGTCACCTTTCATTGAATTTATTGCATTTTAACAATTGAAAAAATTATTGCCACTTGCTCATTCACTCATCGTTGAAGTAGCCTGTCTACTTTTGGTGCTAGAAAAACAACTTGCAGAACTGTTCTGTCATGTGAACAATTTGGGAGAGTATTTTCAAAAGAAGCTTGGTTAGTGCTTATCTTAGAAGGAAGGTGGAAGGACTCTCTAGAGAGGACGAACCAGGACACAGTACAGAATGTGTTGCCTCCCGTGGGCATTGCATCTCTCTCGGGGGCTATTTCCACTCTTCATCCTACCTCTTGCCCACTTCTCCGTGTGTGTGTGTGTGTGTGTGTGT